CTGCCAGAACTCTGCACCCGCTCGCATTGCATCAGCTGCGTCTACACGGGCAGCTCCTGCGCCAGGGCCACTCGGCCGCGCTCAGCCTTGCTCACACCGCGGCTCTGGCAGCACCTGCGGTCGTCCCTGCAAAGCCAGCGGAGGAAAGGGACGCGCCACTTCCATCGCAGCGGGATGCGGAGTGAACACAGGCTGGACGACACACACAGCGCCAGCCGGACAACTGGCTTCTTTGGTGGATTTTCAAGGGTTCTGGGATCCAGAGGAAAAGTGTGGGAAACCGATTCCGTTTACTGCTCCCTCCCGCGCGCAGCTGTAGGCGCCTTGCGGCTTGTCCATGCTTGGGCTGCGCCAGGGCCGCCACCCTTGTGCGTGCGCGTGCTGCGAAGGAGTCCTGGGGGCTTCCAGCCCCTTCTGGAGGGCCGTTCTACACAGGATATAAAAGCCAACTCCCTCCTGGACTCAAAGCGGGAGAGGACAGAATAGTTCGGGCCAACATCTCAACCTTTTAAAACAAAACAATTCCCTACCATGCCCTCACTGTACACGTGGCCAAGAATACCTATCCCAGCAGTGACTCAAGGATACATAACTGGATAGAGAAATTTCGCTAGCTCCCCCAGGCAGCTGCAGCATCCGTACCCGATGCCTGTGCAGGCCTCCAGGAGGCTGCCCATGAACGAACAAGGGACAAATGTCGCCCTGTGCTCCGAAGTAGTCAGTTTCTGAACATCTGGGGTTTGTTCGAAATCGGCTACATGGTTCACATTCCTGGGAAGTCTTAATTGAGAATGCCCCCCCACACCCCCAGCGACCCACTCTGGGACCCAGAATGTGGAGCTGATTCTGGGAGATTCCAAATCTGCAAAGGGAGCCTCTTGGACTGAAACCATGACCTGTGTCCTTCGCATTCTCAAGGTCATCCAGGTCACAGGCCGGTTCCCTAGACCTGGGATAGCAGATGGGCAAAAGGGTCCTGAAAATGATTCCAGGGCTGGGGAATGTACCTTGGAGGCAGGGTGCTGGGGAGTCACCCATTTCAGGTCACTTCCAAGGCCTGGGTGGGGACAAATAGTCCTTTTGCTGGTTTGTAACCAAGCACAGTCTCAGGACAAACGTGTGGTCAGGCCCATCTTGCCCCAGATAGGAAGGTGACTGACTCCATCTCCCTGTCCCATTTTCCCCTCTGTAGAGTAGGAACCAAACCACCTCCAGCCTCCTGTTGCTCAAATCTGATACTCAGTTCCATTTGAAAGTGGTGCAGGAAAACAGGCCTGGGTGAGGAGACCCTCAGTACCCCTGGCTTGGTGGTCCATGTGTTGGGGTAGGACGAGGACTGGTAGTCGATTCTGGATCTCACCAGTGACACTTCCACTTCTCCTGGAAAGACTTCTACTTCCACTTTTCCTGGCATGGCAACTACCTGAGAGGAGAGGTGCCTTTATTTTCTTTGTTAAGGGACAGAAAATCCAATGGGAAGCTGAGTGCCCAAAGCTTAAGGGCAGGTTTAATGAGCATAAAGGAAGGGGGTGAGGAGCAGGAACCCGTGGCAGTCGGCATGGCATGTTCGGCTAGGCTGGATCCCTGGGGCCTGGGGGTCTGAATGAGCCAGCTCTGACCCCTGCACTTCCCAGGGTTGCCTAGAGAACAGGCTCAGCTAAGCAAAGGGACCTGTGGCCTCAGAGAGTAGGTGTGAACTTAGGGAGTCTGGGCTGCCTCGGGGAACTCCTGGAGTTGAGGACACCTCCCCCAGTCTTGTTCTTTCCCTAGAGTCCATCGTATCTGGTTCAGTCTCAGCTTGTTGGAAGGGGTGAGACTCTCCCTGGCCTGGAGCACAACAGACTTTGGTGAGAGTCTCTTCTAGTAACGACCCCCCGCAAAAAAAAAAAAAACCCAATGAAGCTGGTTCTTGAACTTGATGGCACTAGCAGTTACCCTATGTTGGGAGCGGTGGTTTTGCTAGCCCAGAACACATTTAGTAGCAAACCTTTTCTCCACAAGATCTCCATCTGCCTATACTTGTTCCCCTAAGGCCCTCTCCCATTAAAAAAAAAAAAAAAAGTCTTAGATCAGGTCTGGCCACGCGGGGGCAGGGCCTGGCCAGGGCCATGGCCTTTGGGGACTGAGCGCTGCAGTTCCTCCAGCAAAATGGGGGAGAGAGTGCCTAACTGGAGCACTGCTGCAGCTGCTGCACCTGGAGCATTCCCAGATCCTCAGCCTTGGTTCCCGACTTTCTCTACAGGCAGACCACCCTCACTTCCAAGGGTGTCAGTCAAGCTCAGGGGGGAGACACTACTCCCTTCCCACTCCCCACATCTCCAGTGGCGAGTCGGTTCTCCACTCCCAACCTGGCCAGAGTTCTGACTGTGTCCTCCTGAGCAAACAGAGGGGAGCAGGGAGAGGGCTCCAGTGAACCAGGCACCCTAGAAGAAGTGGGTCCTTCCTACCTCTGCCAGGACCTCTGGCTGCCAGGAAAGTGAAGGAAAGGTGGGGGGCAGGGTATCAGCTGGGGTGGGGAAGGGAAGGGCCCCCCTGAAGGCCAGAGCCTTTCCCTGGCTCCACAGCGCCTTGCCGGACCTCTTCCCAAACCTCCTGGGAGGCTACAGGTGGACAAGGGACACCCAGTGCGCTACAACTCCTGGTGACCTTGAGCGTTCTCTGGTGTGCAGCTCTAGCCAGGTTAAGTCCCTTGGGCCAAGGTTGAGCAGGACCTGGTGTGTTACCCGGGCAAACTCACCATGGGTGAGGGGAGGTGAGCGTGTTCAGTGGGCCCTCTGAGACCCACCGGGATCCAAAGCAGGGCTGAGTTAGTCTGCAATGGAAGCTCCTCATCAGGACCTCCAGAGCCTGGTTCTATAAACTAAGTGGATCTGTGACCCATCCCAGCAAGACAGAGTGAGGAGGGAAGTGCACAGTGGAACCTTGGACAACCTGGAAGGGGCTGCTGGCCCCGAAGCTGCGTTCACCTCGGGTCAGACCCGCCCGGCCTCCTCCGTGCTGGTGTAGGTGGTGGCCAGTGAATGCTTTCTTCATTCCGAGCAGCAAACTGGGTCCAGGGTTGGGAACCCCAAGCCGTGGACGCCTCAGTGGGGTTAGAATCTCGACAGGAATGTGAGGGCATACTGCAGAGACTGGCAGGCAGAAGGCCCAGCGCAGGTTCCCGCCGGCTCCGGGGGCTTTTCTCTGGGGTAGCGTGGGCCCAGCCGCAGCCTATATCCCGGGCCCTCCTCTAGGAAGGACTCTCTGGGGACTGCTGTTTTAATGGGGTGCCGTGTGCAGCTCTCAGTTCTAAGATAAAGGTTTTAATGCACAACAAAGAGGGGGCGGGCTTGGTTACATGCCCCGCTTGGGAGGCAGAAAGACCTTGCTATAGCCCTGGTGACCGGGCAACAGCTCCGAAATTTTGCTGCCGGGAGAGACCTCGGTATTCAGGAGGGGTACCTAAGGCACTGACCCGGCCAGGGCTGCGCCTCCGTTTGTTTCCAATTCAATCTCAAATCATAGCCACGCTCGAATGAGGAATCCGCACTCACCCCATTAGGCCTCTTGGTTGGGGCCACCCTGCTGGTGCCCAGCCAGGCCCCTTGCCCGCCGGGGCTCCGAGTTCGAAGGCTGCAGGGACAGAAGCGCCCGAGGTCCACCTGCGCCGCGGGTTCTCCAGCCCAAGGCCCTTCTGGGCCGGGAGAAACCGGAGAGGAAAGGAGCGGACTGTAGGCAGCGGACTGCGGTTCGCGAAAGTGGCCTAGCTCCGGCGCTTCCGCACCCGGTACTCACCTGGGGGCCGCGGCCGCCGCCCAAGAGGGCGCGGAGACCGGAGCGCGCGGGCCCGCACCGGGACACGCAGAGGTGCGGGGCGCTCCGGGGCGGACGGGCACAGACGCCGGCGTTGGCACAGCCGCACCCCGGGGCCGCCCCAAGACGCAAGGCGCGCTGCCCTCCACCGCTCCGCGCCCGACCGAGGACCACGGGTCTAGCGCGCGGCTCGCCGGCCGGGGCCGAGACGGAGCGCGGAGCTGGCGGCGCCTCGGCTGTTGTTTTTGAGCCGCGCAGCCCGAG